ATGCCAATTTACTAGAAGAAAGTATTCTTGTGTTGAGGGAGTACTTGAGTGGAGGCCCAATGTCCTTCTGCTACCTTAATACTAAACCTGTAAATGTAGGCTCATAGATCTCTTTATGGGAATTGAAAGCCTTGTCTTTCTCCCATGGAGTGGCTGCTTGGCTGGTGGTTTTGGACTGCTGACCTTAAGGTTAGCAGCCCAATGTGTAACCAATATAATCACCAGGATACCTACATATCATAGGTACAGGGATTAGGTTTGACATATATCTTTTGGGGCAACACAAATTAATTCATAACAAGGAGACACATATGATGAATAGGATGGACTAAAATAAAAGCTTAAGAGATAAAAGGAAATAGGAAAGGATCACGGTCAGAAGTTTTAAAAAAAAATCTGACTTGAATGGTTACAACCTTGTCAGTTGGTCTCTCCTCTGAAGCACATTAGGCTTGATCTGGTTTTCAGCATTTTTTGTATCTTTTTGTTTGTTCATATTGGAGCTTATCCCAGATGTGTTATGTCATTGGGGTCACCCTCTATAATTTTTGTTATATGTTTTCTGCTTTTCAATATAAGAAAATGAGGATTGAGGAGCCTAAAGGTATCTAGGGGGTACAGTGGTGGTGTTGGTATAGAAGGGTATAAAAGGGAGCTGATGTCAAGGAGTTCATGAAGGAAAATAATGCTTTGAAACTGATTATAGTCGCAATTGTACAATACTGCTTGATGTGATTGAACCAAGGAATAATATGATATCTGTATTAGCTCCATTAAAATGTTTTGGAAAAAATATATACCAAAAAAGCCAAACCGACTGCCATTATATAAATTCAGATGCATAGGACTTTTGAGACTACAAGTGTTTTTGGGATCAGACAGACTCATCTTTCTCCCGTGGAAGTCCTAGTGGACTTAACTGTGGATCACGTGGATGGCAATCCAAGACTTATCCAACGGCACCACTAGAGCTTCTTTGAACACAAAGGTTATTTAAAACTATTTGTTTTGCATTTTTCTCACAGCATTAAACAGATTGTGCTAATCTGAGCAGAATTTCTCCATGTATTTTTACCCTAATTTCCTGGGGAGGGGTGGTGGTGGATTGTGCAGAGGAAGGACATGAACACTTTTAGTGGTTGTTATGGGTTGAAATGTGTCCTACAGAGATATATGTTGAAGTTTCAACCCCTAGTACCTGTGAATGTGACACAATTTTGAAGGTGTACAATTATTAATTGGATAGGTAAACATGAGGTTACTTGGAGTAGGGTAGACTCAATCCAGTGTGATTATATGCCTATCATAAGGAGAGAGCAGAAACATACATGGAGCAGATCACGTGAAGACAAGAGACAGCAGCATGTAAAGACAGAGGAAGAGACTGGAGTGATGTTGGCACAAACCAGGAACTAACTGGAACTACCACAAGCTGGAAGAGACAAGGAAGGATTTTCCTTGGCACTCCTTAGTCAGTGTGTTGCTGAATCTAGACTGTTAGCCTGGAGAACTGTGAAAGAATAATTGTCTGTTGTTCTAAACCATCTAATTTATGGTTTCTTGTTATGGAAGAAATAAAGGACACAAATACAGGAATCATTACAGCTGATTTGTGAATTTATTATTATAAATGTGTAGTTTTCTTCAAATTTAACTCTTGCTTTTAAAAATTAGAAACTTTCTTTTTATTATCTTAAATAATTGAGAGTAAAGTGTTTAAATTTTCTTTTATAACTATTATTTTAAAACTTCTGCATAATTTGGGTGAGTTTACATATAAGAAGAGTACATTGTTGAAATTATCTATATAAAATTATTATTTTAAAGCTTCTGCCTGAAGCAACAAAGCCCACATGGAAGAAGCACACAAGCCTGTGAGATCATGAGGTGCCAAAGGGATCAGTTATCAGGCATCAAAGAACAACAAATCATATCATTGTGTGCTCACCTCCCTGATATGATCGCTGAAGACCAATAGGTACATAAGCAAATGTGGCGAAGAAAGCTGATGGTGCCCAGCTATCAGAAGATATAGTGTCTGGGGTCTTAAAGGCTTGAAGGTAAACAAGCGGCCATCTAGCTCAGAAGCAACAAAGCCCACATGGAAGAAGCACACAAGTCTGTGTGATCATGATGTGTTGAAGGGATCAGGTATCAGGCATCATCAGCACAAAACAAACATACCATAGTGAATGAGGGGGATAGTGCGGAGTGGAGACCCAAAGCCCATTTGTAGGCCACTGGACATCCCCTTACAGAAGGGTCTCGGGGAGGAGATGAGCCAGTCAGGGTTCAGGGTAGCAATGATGAAACATACAACTTTCCTCTAGCTCCTAAATGCTTCCTCCTCCCCCACTATCATGATCCCAATTTTACCTTACAAATCTGGCTAAACCAAAGGATATATACTGGTACAGATAGGAACTGGAAACACAGGGAATCCAGGGTGGATGATCCCTTTAGGACCAGTGGTGTGAGTCGCCACTGGGAACGTAGAGGGAGAGTGGGTTGGAAAGGGGGAACCGATTACAAGGAACTACATGTGATCTCCTCCCTGGGGGACGGACAACAAAAAAGTGGGTGAAGGGAGACGTCGGACAGGGTAAGATATGACAAAATAATAATGTATAAATTATCAAGGGTTCATGAGGGAGGGGAAAAATGAGGATCTGATGCCAGGGGCTTACATGGAGAGCAAATGTTTTGAGAATGATGAGGGCAATGAATGTACAAATGTGCTTTACACAATTGATGTATATGTAGATTGTGATAAGAGTTGTATGAGCCCTTAATATAATGATTAAAAACAAAAATAAATAAAAATCAACAAATAAAAAAATAAAAAAGCTTCTGCCTAATTTGGATGAGCTCATATAGTCTAATGCAAAGCTACTCAAAATGCTAGGGAGTAACTACATGATATCAGAGACAAGAAACTTGCAGCAAAATAAAATAAAATGATAAACACTATGCTAGTAAACATTATGGTTCTTTTATCTCAAAAGGTTTGCCATAGAGAAAATATATCATTGTGTTTAATGGCATAGTTTATGTTGTTGCAGCAAGCTCCACATCTTTTTTCAGCAAAAAGTTTGTAGGTCAGTAGTTGCCAGCTAACCTTTGACTGACCTCAGGGAATCAAAGGGAGAAAGACCAATTTATTTTACAGGCACTTCTGGTCATTCACTCCAAATATTGACTGGAACTAGAACTCATACTGAAAGGCAAAGTGCCCTGAGCAGGTTGGCAATCAGAGCTATTCAAGCACCCAGATAATGATTATTGCATTTTATTATACACAATCACTTTTTTTGAAGGGGGAGAGTCTTTAATGGTGTTTATTAGTTTATCTTAAATTTACCCAAGTCCAAAACTATGTATAAATGAAATTCTGGGTTTTTTTTTCTTTTCTTTAAATCATTTTATTGGTGGCTCATATAGCTCTTATCACAATCCATACATCCATCCATTGTGTCAAGTACATTTGTACATTTGTTGCCATCATCATTTTCTTTTTTAAAAAATTATTTTATTGGGACTCGTACAATTCTGTTTTATCCCCACCTATTTTTTAATTTCATTAAATAATTTTATTAGGGGCTCTTACATCTCTTATCACAATCCACACAATCATCCATTGTATCAAGCACATTTGTACACATGCTGCCATCATCATTTTCAAAGCATTTTCTTTCTACTTGGGCCACAATCATTTTTGTGTACATTATTTTGTTCACGAAAAATAGAAATCTATTTAGGAAAAGTAAAAATCCTTGTTAGTAGGAAATAAAGACATGACTATTCTGACCACATGGATGATCACAAACTCTCATGACCAGACCTTTCGTTAGAACCTACCTAAGAGCTGAGCTCTACTTCAGTGTTTATTCTACTACTCTCTACTAATGCAGTCAGCATTCAAAGAAAATTTCATTTGAAAAGTCTTTACACTTGTAAAATGAAAATACAACTAAGTTTCTTGTTGTCATCCAACAAGTTTACTGCTTGTGTTCTTGAGGATCCCAGGCTTAGTTATCATAGGTGAATTATCTCAAAATAGCCTTCAGCCCACTTAGGTTTTCTAAACAATTTCATGGAGCATCCTCACCAATTCTTATTAATGATATAGACTGGGTACTGCTTTTACACCTGAATCAGGGGTTGGGTGGCTGAAACACCATCTAATTATTGAGAAGCTACCGAGTATAGCTGTCTAATTTACCATTGAATTCATAGTTGACTGGATTGCCATTTTATAAAGACCTCAGCAGGCATAAAGTGCACTTCAATATCCCTAACTACAGACATATCGCATTGTGTTCAAAATGGGTTGTACTTGAGAAAAAATTAGAGAACCAATTCCTTCTAGGAAGCATTACCTTTCTTTTAACAAATTTGTCCCAGTAGTTGTTGGGGAATGACCTAAAAGAAATAAATGCACAGATGTCAAATATTCTTATTAAAACAAAAAAGATAAATAATGATACATTACTGGGAATTTATAAAATACAGAGAAATTATACACAAATTTACCACCATATTGTGTCATTTTTGCCACCTGAATCTATAATTTTTCTGCATCATGAGTATATAAAATATTTTAAATATGAATGTAAACTGGTAAATCACATAAGTGAGTTGATATTTCAATGAAGAGCAATATGAACATATTTATTATTTATAAACAGTACTTTATAGTTGTTATTTGTTATAAATTGCCAATATATACATTGTATTGATAGCTGTCTTTAAATTAACAAATTAGATATCTGGCATTGCTTTTCTGGTCATTATCAAATAAACTTTTGGCATGGCAACAAACCACACAAATAAAAGAGGTAGACTTGATTCGAGTTTGATATAATGGATGTTGTTGGTGATAGGTAGTCAGTTTGAACTCAAAGCAATTCTATTAGTTAGAGTAGAACTAGCCACAGAAGAATTTTAGGCTATCAATCTTTAGGGAAGTAGATCACCACTGAGTAGGGTGAACCACTAAACTTTTGGTTCACAGCTGAGCACTTACCCCTTATCCCACCAGGCCTTCTTGTAGCGATTGCTGTTGCTGTTCGGTGCCATTGAGTCGGATCTGACTCACAGTGACCCTCATTACAACAACCCTCATTACAACACTGCCTCACTCTGTGCCATCCTCACAATTGTTATGTTTGTTATGTTAAAATGTTATGTTATGTCTACAAGGATAGCCTTGTAGACACTCTGTTAATCCATCTTGTTGACAGTTTCTAGAGTATTTATTTGCAGTATATACAGGATAAATAAAAAAGTATTGCAATAAAATGACAGAAGCCTTTATTAAGCAAACAGATCAAAATTTAAAGTTCCGAATTCTTAATGCCATCTAGGTTTATCCGCTTCTGAAGGTGGTGTTTCCACTAGTTCCTGAAAAATTCTGTGTTCCTCTATTTGTACCAGGACATACATAATGGTACTCTGGGACCCTGGAGGGACTCAAATCCTTTTCTTTTTATTTAATTGAGGTTTGAGGTTCATTGAGGTTTGAGCACAAAAAGAAATCTGAAGGAGAGAAATCAGGGCTGTAAGATACATGTGTTAAGGCTTTCCAATTAAATCCTTATATCCTTATTATTCTTAGAAAATGAGCAAGTGTATTTCTGTGGTAGGGGAAAAATTCCTTAGTGCAATTTTCCTAGCTTCTTTTTCACTGCAACAGTTTTCAATTTTCTTAAAATTTCTCAATGATCAGCCCCTTCAATCATTCAGCATTCTTCAAGGAAAGCTGTCAAGATTACCCCTTGGAAGTTAAAAAAAAACAGTCACCACAACCTTCTGACTGAACCTCTCTTCTTGAATTTAAGTAGCCTATCAGATCCTCGCAGAAGCCAGTGGCTTCATTAGACCTTATAGATGTCATTTTTTGGATGGCACACCAATGAGATTAAGACAAGTATGCTACTGAAAGAACTTGTCTGCAGCCACCCACTGATAACAGAGTTATGTTGAAACATGTTTTATTTGGAACAAACTTGTGTACGTATGGACTGTAATTTCAGTAACAACACTTTGGGACCCTCATACATTAAATCACTCCATTTGAAAAGTCAGAAACATTAGACATGATAATTTTTCAGTAACTAAGTAAAATTAATCAACAGAAAGAAAATAAAATTCATTTTTGATTAGTCAAACTACTCAAAAAATAGCCTATCAGTAATACTTTTACAGGGTGGAAACTTACCTATCTGTGACAGATTTATACCTAGAGTAGTAACTACTAGTATGGATCTTAATTTTAAAAGGTCAAATAATCAGTGTACATAGTAATTGTTGTCTGTTTGATGCTATATTGCCTGTCATATGGCATAGCTAGATTTATGCTAGGCTATTTGAAGTTTCTGCTTTATACATTAAAAATGTAAAGTTCAATATCTTTGCCTTTAGTGATACACCTCTTTCCGTAATGAATTATTTTTTGCTTCCTCTGTGCATTTGGATGAGATAACCCCTCACCGTAGGCTATGTATCTCTAGAAACACACTTCCCTGAGGACTGAGTAATGATGTTATGTTCCGTCAGTGCTGTGGAAATGGACTCAAAGTCACTTTTGAATAAGAAACCCAGAGGACAGAGGGAAACAATTGATAGCACACATTAAGATGCAGGGATGCTTAATTTTGTTTTGTTTTTTCCTTGTCTGAATAAAACTATAATTGCCTCTGCTCCACTTCTGACAAATCTGCAGGAACTCCAGAAAAGTATTTTATGTGTTGAAATTGTGGAGCACAAAAATATCTCATATAATTCTTTACTCACTGTGTGTTGATTACAAGCCTATCCCACTGGCCTTTAATATCATCTTCTGAAGGTTGTTCTGTAATATAAAGTCCGTCAAATTCCAATTTCCGTGCTACTTCCTTTTCTCGCTTAAAAATTACCAATGGGACCTACATATGAAAAATAAACATGTTAAAATTAGTGGAATCTCCTGTGGTTACTATTTTTATAAAAGAGCTTTAAGAAAGAAATATTTCCTATGTGTTTCAAAAAAGGTAAAAATTGAGTGAAAATGAATCAACTCTATTCAGGCAACCATAGGCATCTAGAAGATATGGGAAAACAGCAGAAGATAGAGAACATATTACATAGAATCAATTTCATATACATAGTCTTATGTTTTCCAAAATAGAAACTAATAGATAATTGCACTAATAATATCACTTTTAAATACCAAAAAGAAAAAAATGATTGTGATTGTGCGAAGTCACATTTTTTTCTTTTGAATATATAAATACAAAAGGGCTTTAAAAAGTTCTTGGAAAAATAGAAGTAAGAGATAATGGAATTTTTTCTATAATTTTTGAAGCTACCTTGTGTATGTACACATATGTATATTCAACATGTATAAATGAAATAAAATACAGCAATCTTACTGTGTCAAGATTCATATTGATAAAAATGAATAGTTTTCTTTAAAAACACTCTTTAATAATTCCACTGTCAGCATGCCCACATGCTATTTTGCGAACCATTTTAATTTCAACATCTGCAAAAATACTTTTCATTTTGCCAAATGCCTGTACAACATATTGATTCTCTTTTTACATGAGCAGATTTTATAAAAGAACTGAAACAATAAAGATTCATCTATTCTGGAAGTTCCATGATAAACCCCTTCCTGCTCCCCTTGAAACCAAGGGCTTTGAAAGAAAAAGGTGGAAGAGGGATTTCAGAGAGAGTTTTTCATTCCAGTGTTGACTCTAGGCCTGGTTTTTCCAAAGACTATGGAAGATTCACAAACAAAGGCAGAGGAGCTAGTTAGATAAAAGTATAGTAGTGAAAAAAAAAAAAAAGTATAGTAGTGAAAAAGCATGATGCTGGAAAATATGAAGAGGCTTGAAAAAGTAAAGGGCGACTTCACTCTAACCGGCGAAAATTGTGATTTTTATCAAATTATGTTGTTTCCTTAGCAGGAGTCTAGGTAGAGTTTATTTGTAAAGATGTATGCTTTTCTGGGTGAACTGTGACAAACTGTGAAACATTTCTGCCAAAGACAGTAGTAGATCTGTAGTCTATAACAAAAATCAACATGGTCTGACATTTCTTTAAGTCTTCCTCCACTGGATCATTGCTATGAGACATGGATGGGTCAAGTTATAGGTGAAATTGTCCATTATATGAATCATTATATACATGAGAAAGAAAGCTACAATAGAAATAGTCCAATAGCTCTGAGGACAGTGTGCAGCCAATGATTGGCCAATGTGGGGATATAAATGCCAAACTTCCTCGACCCAACCTGAAAACTTTGAGGAAACATACAGTTTTTAAGGCTAGGCCTATGCCTACATCATGTTGAGCTTATAACCTAACTTTTCTGTTTGCCAAATGCTAGGTCTTTCCTTTCCTCCTCATACGTTGATTCAGAGAATATGCTCTCATAGACATTGTGCATGCTATTTTCCATCTCAGATCTGCTCTCTGGGATTACAACGTGCAACAGACATGCATACCCATAAACCCATCTGTACAGGTCCCCTGTGTCTTACTCTCTTACTTTCAAACAGTAGTATCCAATGATGCAGAAGAAAGAAATGACAGTGTGGAGAATTGCTAAAATGCGCAGCGTGGGCTCCATGTAGCCACTGCTCTCCTCCAGGACATAGTGAACAGCAATGATTCGGTGGGAGTCACTCTCCAGGTTGCTCACTTTGTCATTTTCCCCTGAACTTCGAGGGGGCAGCTCCTTTCCTTCAACCACAGAGGATGTGGAGACCTAATCCAAACCGTTTAAATTATAGTCAGTTAACATTAAGATGCTGCAAATGAAAAATAGTGGAATAAAGCTGTTCAGCAAATAATATATCAAGTTGGATATGAAACCACTGGATAATGAAAGGACTGGAAGCAAAGACTAAAGAGGATTTTCAAAAACTAGGAGCAAAGAGTGAAAACAGTGGAACACTTCTGAAATTGTGCTGTCACCACATGCTATGAGGATTCCAACACAGGCAGGGAAAATGAGATAACCAAGCTAGATTCTGAGCTGGCCAAACACTCTAGTGGAACAGAGATATGCCACCCGCAGGTATACAAACAAATGCATTATTCAGTCACATTAGGCAGCAATGTTATGAGCAACCCCTTGGCCACAGCAAACAGTTTTCATTTGAGCCATTGCTCACACTTCAACTATTTCTTCAGATTAACAAATCCATCACATTTGAGCTAGTAACTGATGATGTGTTTGAAGCCATGTTCTTCACCAAAATGCATTAAAAAATAGGTTTAATTATACCCAATTGTGTCTCTGAGAGATCTCTAAATTCAATTCAGTCTATTTACAGTACTATATATTAAGATATACATACCTTATAAAAGAGCAAGATGAAATTGATTGCAAATGCGACAAATAAGGCTAACATTCTCATGTTGTAAAAGTTGCGAGCAAAATAGTTCTGAAGGTGAAAAAAAATTACCAAAAGGTCACTGAACCAGGAAATTGGAATCTGACAACAAGTAAAGTCATTCATCCATTCACCCGAATAATGTTTATTGAGGACCTGGTATTTATTCTTAGTGCTATAGATAGAACAGAGAATAAGAATAAAATTTGCCACGAGGAAGGAGACAAATAACAAAGAAGCACACACAGAAATATGAAAACATAACTTCAGGGAATGCTTAATGTTATGGAGAAAACTATATCAGGCTAAGGGCATGGAGAGTTGTGGGGATGTTTTAAGATGCAGGTGAGCGGCATAGAGGTAGGTGGTCAGTAAAAGTTTGTCTGTGGAGGTGATAGGTGAAGCCATGACCTTAACACTGTATGGGAGTGAGCCTGAGGCAAAGTTCGCCCAGAAAATAACCCAGATTTATGACTAAACTCTGCCTAGAATCCTGGTAAAAGACTGTCTCTCGGCTTTCCAAGGGACAATCTTCATACATTTTCTTGAAGTACACCAAGTGATTGCTAGGATTTATCCTGAGGAAGTTTTATGAAAATTGCATTGGTGAAAAAAGGGCCAGGAATGTTGCTCTGAGGAATGTTTCCATCAGGAAAACGCACCTGCTCATTCTTTTATAGTTGCAAGGGCTGTCTTCAGAGAACTTCATGAGAAAACCTCACCTCACCCATTGTACAGCCTGATCCTGTCTTTAGATTTCTTTCTCTTTCCCCACGTCAAAGAAAGTCTCAAAGGAATAAAATTTGAGCCCTCGAGGTTGCCAGAAGTGTTGTATTGATATGATATAAATACAAAAGCACAGAGTTATTTAGGGAAAGGTAAAGAGATGTAAGCAAGTGCCTTCAGAAATGTATAGACTTAGAAGGAAGCTATGTCAAGAAGCAATAGCTTTACTTTTTAATATTTTGTATAATAAGGGGTTCTATGACTTGGTAGCAACACCTTTTGACTTACACAGGTAGCGCTCTCTCTCTCTCTCTATATATATATATATGTATATATGTATATGTATGTGTGTGTATATATATATATATATATAAAATCTCTCGCTATCGCCATATATTTAGAGAGAGGAGTCCTAGTGGTACAGTGATTAAGTGCTTAGCTGGTAACTGAATGGAGGTGGTTTGAAGTCTAAGGAAGGAAGATATAACACTCTTCCTATTTAACGATTATTTTCTAGAAAGCCTATGGGGAAACTAGACTCTTTTCTATAAGGTTACTATGGGTCAAGAGTCATTCAGTGGGAAAAGGTTTTTTTTTAATCATTTTACTGGGGACTCATACAGCTCTTATCACAATCCATCCATTCATTGTGTCAAGCACATTTGTACATTTATTGCCATCATCATTCTCAAGACATGTCCTTTCTACTTGAATCCTTGGCATCAGCTCCCCATTTTTTCCCTCCCTCTCCCACCCTCCCTCGTGAACCCTTGATAATTTATAAATTATTATTATTTTGTCATGTCTTACACTATCCCACGTCTCTCTTCACCCACTTTTCTGTTGTCCGTCCCCCAGGGAGGAGGTTATATATAGATCCTTGTAATCAGTTCCCCCTTTCAGAAGGTTTGGTTTTTATGAACACAAATGTTAGATTGTATAAGGGAACTTCAAAGAGTTCATGGGAAATGGAATTAAAGGATAATAGGTTTTTGAAGATCTTTTTATTTATATTTATGTATATGTATATGTAAATACAAACACACATTTACATGACTTTCAAATAGGAATTTCAAGATTTGGTGACTGTGAGTTAGAAATAAAATAAAGAACTCACATCCATATTTCCCATTTATGAACTCACTAATTTACATGCATTTCAGTAATCTGAGGAGCACTTCTGTGAAATGCATGGTGTATTTCTATCTTCATTCTTGGACTCACTGTTTATTATGATCTCACTTTATATCAATAAAAAATATTCATTTTAAGGCATCTTACTAGAAGCTTCTGTTGATATGCTATGATTTTCTTCCAGAATGCTGATTCTGGAAGTTCTGGCTCTCCATATCTGTGTGTGTGAAGCTGCCTTAACTTCTGTCTACCCTTGTCTTCTTTGGATTTTTCTTCTTTTTCTCCACCTTCTCCCCTATGAAAACAAATGAGAAGAATATAAGACATCAAGAAACTAAAGAGACAACAGGTTGTATGCAAATATAAAGAAATGACCCAATAATTTAGATCATAGTGTTGTTTGGAAAACTAAGTTCACGTGAATTCAATGAATGACAATATTCAGAATTTTAGAAATAGTGGTGAGGTTTCCTGGGGATCATAGCACCTGGTAGATGGATTATTCAGAGAAATTCAAATCTGAAGAGCATTTTGTTAACTTCAAGAATCTTTATTTCTGTAAGAAACTTGTTCTGTTACAACTTTATAATAAAAAATATTTAACTGAAAAGAGAATAACTTAGTGAGGAATTTATTTTGCTATGACTTTCCAATATGCTTTATTCATATGTTACAAATTTAATGTTCAATATTTAACATAGATTTATAAAATTAATAATAGAGGCACATGTATAAAGGATGTCAATGTGGTATTTTTGGATGTACTTACAGAATTAGAAACACTGATGCTTAATATTTAAAAATCCTGTAGGCACAAATACAAAACATTCATGGTAGTTTATTTGTGGATATGTATAGGCATGTCTAAGGAGCCTGGTGGCACAGTACGTCAGGCTGCTACCAGCAGTCAGTGGTTCACACCTACCACCCTCTCTGTGGGGGAAAGACGAGGCTGTCTGTGCCTATAAAATGCATTCTCAGAAACCATCTACTTTCACAATGAGCTGGAATAGACTCTGTGGTAATGGGTTGGGTTTGTTTTGGTGGCCATTTATTCCTATTTTCAAACCCTACCATGACTTTAATCCATATGTAATAGATTTAACGCTCATTAATTTTTGCGGAGGAACCCTGGTGGTGTGGTGGTTTTGCATTGCTCTGTGATCCGCATGGTTGGCAGTTCAAAATCACCTTCGGTTGATAGAAGAAAGACTGGGCTTTCTACTCTTGTCAATAGTTACAGTCTCAGAAACTCACAGGGGGTCCCTGTGAGTCAGAAGTGGCTTGATGGCAATGAGTTAGTTTTTTGGATATATATATAGGTGTTTGAGGAAACCCAAATTAATAAATCTGGACCTCCATGTTTCAGTACTTCTAATTGTTTCTCATCAATCCACCCATCCTTTTCTTTTTAAGTACACATAAGAAAAATACATTGTAAAAAAAGAAAAAAAAAAAAACCTCTGTATTATATGGAGCCTTGGTGGTGTAGTGGTAACTCGTTGGGCTGCAATTCATATAGTCGGCAGTTCAAAACCACCATTAGTTCCGTGTGAGAAAGACAAGGCTCTCTAATCCGGTAACCAATTACAGTTTCAGATACACACTGAGGGTCACTATGAGTCACCATTGACTCGATGGCAGCAACGGTTTGTTTTTTTTTTTTTGCTTTTGTTTTTTTGAGTCATTTTTGGAGCTGTTCTTACAACTGATCCAATAGATCTTGGCAATAATAAATATTGCTGACTTCAGAGAACAGGAAATAAAAACAGATCAATGAAAGCAGCAGAATAGAGGAGAAAAATATAAAATGTTTATGAGAGTAGTGGAACTATTGGCCCCTAAATTCTCCCCAGTTTAAAAAAGTATTCCTATAAAACGATATACTCTTGAAAAATATGGAAGATACCATCTTTTCATGACAGAATTATAGGTACGTATTTTACCTGCCTTAGATCCAGATCTTTACTTATCATTGCTGTTGTTATTTATAATTGTTATCCGCAATATCAGAGTTGTTTGTAAAACTGAACAATGGAACAATCCTGGGCTCCATACTGGACCTGCTGAATCAGTATCCCTTGGATGGGACCCCTGGGTCTGTGGTTTTAATAAAGTCTCCAAGCCATTGTTATGCGTGTTGAACTACAAGGATTCTATTCATAGGGAATATTTCCTCCCCAAGTCTTCATGCAAAAACAATATAAATATAGTTTCAAGATAGAACAGTGGCAATCTGTGAATTTGTGGAGCATATTGCATATAATCTCTGGAGCTTTTCTGCTGAGAGAGAAACACAAATGCGATCTCCATGAACTCAGAAGAAAAAGGCTAGAGGGCCAGCTGGGTTTGAGCTTTATCACTGTAGTGCTTGCAATCAGAAGCGCTCCACAGGGGCACGAGACTTTGTTAGGAGGCTCCAGGATTCAGGGGAGGCTTTCAGCAGTGTAAAAACAGTGTTAAAAAAAATATGAGATTTTCCACTGTTGTTTCCAGAAAGAGTACAAAATAAAAGGAGAGACTTACTGGCACAAAGCAAAGCATACGAAACAATACATACTCAGCTTTCTCAGGTTCAGGTTTGATTTCTTCTTTTACTTCCCTTTCTTCTTTTATCTTCTCTTCCTTGAATGAATCAGTGGAAAAGGAAAAACAGGATAACTTCACACCTCTGAGTGAGCAACAAGTAACTAAGTTCTAAAGCCAAACTAGCCAATGATAGCGACCTGCCAATATGGAGATACAATTTCCATGTATGCCTTTCATTCTACTGTTGCAAGCATCTTTCCCTTCTACACATCTTTCCCTTCTACACATTTACCAGCACCAGCAGCACAACTCTCTGGACCCTTTTTCCCGTCTTCATTCACTTCAGAAATACCCTCCTCAATCTGATCCACCTACTAAGACCCCATTCACCTTCAAGGTCAACTTAAATCTCACTTCTAAAGTCTTACTCCACTACTCTAAACCGTATGGCATTTACACTTTCTCCACATACACAACCTCTACTATCGCTGTCTATCCGATTTAAGGCAGAATGATTTCCTATTTTTAAGTTAGTTTTCTAATCCCTCTAATGAGTTAAGGCAAAACAACAATTGTTTTAAAATTCTTCAAAAGTCTAACTTTGTCTGCAAAAAAAACCCCAACAAAAAACAATTTCCTTTTGGAAATTTGAGGCATATATTTAATACTACTCTTGCAGAAGTTCACTTACTGTACCCAGCGAGCTGCTATGAATGGGGCGGAAATTACCTGATTTTTCTCTTGCACCTCCGAGATGGGGACTGTGTTGCTCATTAGTTCACTAAGGCCAGCATTTGGATTATGTGGAATAAGTTTGTACTGTCCTCCTTCTCTCTTCAGATCCAAGCCAAATATGTCTGAAAGCAGGTCACTTTCCTCTGTGAGTTCCTTTAAGTCGGCCAGGTCTTCGGCAGGCAGGACAACTTCCATGGGTTTCCTCTCTCCCTCCTCTCCGTCTCCTCTCACCTCATCCTGTGTGGGGTCTGGCATATTAGCTAACAGTTCTGAAACTCTGATCTTTTTGGCGCCTTCGACCAGGCTTCCTCCCAGCAGCAGGCTACACATGATTCGGAAAAAGCCTCTGAAAACACTGGCGACAAAGTGCAGGAGGCTCAAAAGAATACTCCAATATGACGAAAAGAAGGCCATGGCCATGTCCTTCATGGTCATCTTCTTCACTCTCTTCATCTGCTTTCTCAGACTTTTCAGGCTCAGCATTCTCATCAGTGCTAAGATGTTATATCTGAGGGCAAGCAGGGCCGACTTGATGGTTAGAACAGAAAAGAAGCCCATTCTTGGCTCCTGTTCTTCAGGCTTCTCTTTCGCGCTTTCTTCTTTATTTGTGGACCTCTCATTCAAGTCTGATTCTGAGATCTGAGCTGCCAGTTGCATTTCAAAGATGGTGTCCTCACAGAAGTTCACAAAAAGTTCCATTTTCTCTTTTTCTCCCCCTTCATTGACCACATCAAATATGAACTGCCTTTTGGATTCTTTGACCTGAGGCTTCTCCCACTGAGTCCGACTAGATTCACTGATTTCAAAATAAACCCTCTCAATACGTTTTGCACTCCCCATGATCTCAATGCGCCCCAGGAAGGGCTGAAAGTAATTTAACACACTCTCTGCTAATTCAAGGAAGGTCTGCAAGCGCGTGTCATTGGGCATGTGCTCTGAGAGATTTGTCAGGAGGACAGCCACATTGAAGCTGATGTCCTTTGCAGGCTCATGGAACCGTTTGACAAATTCTTCATAGTCCAGCGTTTCATTTTCATCTGTCTCTGCACAGGACAAAAGAAACTCCGTTTCTGATTGTGTGTAGTGTTTGTGGCTCTCCATTGCTTTATGGAAGTCCCTCTTGGAAATTACTCCTTTGCCATCTGGGTCATATTCTTTAAATGTATCCGATGATGTCAAATCCTTCAGTTTTAAGAACATGTCAAAAAATTTAAGAATCATCTCTACATTGTTGGACGATTCCACAAGCATATCCACCATCTGTTTGCCAATTGTTCCATTGACAACATTACCTAGTGGTAAAGCAATTGCATTTGTTTAAAATGAACATTCTTAATACAACCAACGTTTACAGAGAAAAAATGCAATATAGTTATAATATCAAGAATAAATCCTTGTTTATCTTTCAGTGTATGAAGTTTTGGGAAAAGGAGGGATAACTATTAGTAACTAGTTTTGAAAGTGATTATAGAAACTTTTACATTAACTACCACTGTAACTATCCTAAAGTACAGGAGAAAAAATAGAAAGTTCCTGGCTACCACTGACAACTATACTGATCAAGGCTATAATAGATAAAATGATAAAATTAGAGGAAATATGTGGAACAGAATCTCAAATCCCTTCCTCTTTTTTGATGCCCCTCTAATTTACCAAGCATGATGTCTTTCTCCAAGGACTATTCTCTCCTGAAAATATGGCCAAAGTAATGGTCTACTATTTTTTTTAAATCACTTATATGAGATCAAACAGTCAACCACTAATAAGAAACAAGGATGAGCCTCTAAGGAGGCAAGGAGACCAGTGGAAACAGAACAAGCAGACTGGATTATTGTGAAAATGTAATTAATGTCAACTGAACAATTTATGAATACATTGTTGATTGGAAATTTAAACTGCTATGTAAAACTACCCCCCAAACACAATGAATCATTTTAAAAAGGTGATTATAATAACATCTGAAAAATCTAAACATGGTGATTAAATCAACACATACAAGGATACTTGAACAAAAGCTAATATTTCCCTCAAATCCATTCATGAAACAATGTGTTTTAGGGTGATGAAAACAGAGCAGAGCCAGCAAAATGAATTTACTCTAATGTCTTAATAAAAACAAACATTGGTACACATATTTATGGTTGAAAAGATCACTATTTATAATCACCATTTAATGCTTCTATGTCCGTAAGGAAACTACTCTGTATAATTTCTGATTTCACAAATGAGGAAACAGGAGCTTAGGAAGCTAAATCAATTGGCCTCTTGTGGCAAGGTTATGCAGGGTCAGTGCCAGTACTTTACGCCAGATCTTCCAACAGATAGTAAATGGCAGGCTCTTTTATATTTACAACGAAAAGTATCTTCCTCCATGTCTTCATTGTGCAGACTGTCATTTAGAAAATGTCAGATTACTGATAAGCTTAAAAAAACTACGTGTATGCAAAATCATAGAATCATGGAATCATGCTTTTATTTTTTTGACCAGAATGTGTTGTGTAATTTAAAGACATCAGAAGAAAGAATGTTGAGGTAAGATATGTACAATCTCTTTGTAAATCAGCAAACACAGTAGGTCAGAATCTGGATTCTGAAGCCACATGGGTGGGTTACAATGCAGACTTCACAATGTACTAGCTAAACAACCCTGGAAAGACTCATTAAACTCTCTGCACCTCAGTTTCCTCTTCTGGAAAATGGGGATAATGACAGTACCAAACACACAGATATATTATCAACATGAAAATGACACAATATTATCTGTCACATTACAAGCAGTTCATTTTTTTTTTTTAACATTTTATTAGGGGCTCATACAACTGTTATCCCAATCCATACACACATCAATTGTGTAAAGCGTATTTGTACATCATTTCTCAAAACATTTTCTCTCCATTTAAACCCCCGACATTAGGTCCTCATTTTTCCCCTCCCTCCCCGCTCCCCCCTCCCACATGAGCCCTTGATAGTTTATAAATTGGTATTTTGTCATATCTTGCCCTGTCCAACGTCTCCCTTCATCCACTTTTCGGTTGTCTGTCCCCCAGGGAGGAGGTCACACACAGTTCCATGTAATCGGTTCCCTCTTTCCTACCCATTCTCCCTTTACCCTCCCTGTTTTGCCACTCACACCACTGGTCCTATAGGGCTCATCCATCCTGGATTCCCTGTATTTTCAGTTCCCATCTGTACCAGTGTACCTCCTCTGGTCTAGCCAGTCTTGCAAGATAGAATTCGAGTCATGGTAGTGGGAGTGGGGAGGAAACCTTTAGGAACTAGAGGAAGGTTGTATTTCTCATCATTGTTACATCACATCGCACCCTGACTGGCTCATCTCCTCCCCGAGACCCCTCTGCAAGGGGATCTCCAGTGGCCTACTAATGGGCTTTGGATCTCCACTCCACACTCCCCCCATCATTCACTATGGTAAGATTTTTTGTTCTGATGATGCCTTACACCTGATCCCTTCGACACCTCGTGGTTGCATAGGCTGGTGTGCTTTTTCCATGTGGGCTTTGTTGCTTCTGAGCTTGATGGCCGCTTGATTACCTTCAAGCCTTTAAGACCCCAGATGCTATACTTTTTGATAGCCGGGCACCATCAGCTTTCTTCACCACATTTACAAGCAGTTCATTTTAAGGTACTGTTACTACTTAGATTACAATTTGATTTGGGATTGATTATGTTAAACAGTTCTTGGGGTTGGTGGGCGTATATGAAGCGATTACTACTGCTTCTAGTTATACATTTTAAGCAAATACTGTATCTGTGAAATCCTAGATATGATATACCAACAAATGCTGTTAATGAAGTGGAAGGAAGCAATGCATGACAGTCTAAGAAATAGACGGAAAGAAACAGAGAGAAAGAGAGAGGGAGAACACAAGGATTAAAAAAAAAAAGACTAGGTGTTTATTGGCCATGTTGGCACAATAAATGCTTACTAATCCATGGTGTGAAATAGCCAAGCTAATACCCACAGTCGCACCACCGATAGATGAGGTGCTGGGTAAAGGAGAGGCCCTGGGTGATCGCATGTTTGATATTTTCCAGTAGTTTTGTCAGGATGACAAGTATAGGGAAGCTGGTTGATTGGTCCTATTTACAGTGGACAGTGTGATTAAGGACAGGGATGGTCTCAGAGCCTCAGAAGCACACCTCCGGTGCTGACTAACAGATTTGAAAGCTTCCGCTAAGATACAAAGGAGAGCCTTCTCTCCGCTAGTAATAGAGCTAACATTGCCGAAAACCAGGTCCAGAGTCTCATTATGCGAGTAGCTGAATTACAATGTCAGCTGAACTGCACATCTAGAACAGGGTCTGATACCAAAGTGAGGGCACTGATTGGGAAAAGCTGGGACCCTGAAACGTGGGATGGGAACATATAGGCTGATGACCCAGAAGAGGAGGCTATTGAGCCCCTAGAGGCAATTGACCCACCCCAATCAATGGATTCACTCCTCCCAGTTGAGGGTATTAATCCACTATCAATAAAACAACCCACACCTAAGCAGATTAGCTGAACTATTCAGCCTCAGATGACAGGTGGGGCTGCATCTATAGCATTGCCTGAGGTAGATGCCTTACGAGATGTTGCTGAGAGCACCCAGGAAACACCCTCATCACCCATTATTTCCTCTAGACCTGTAACTAAAATTAAGGCTCAGAAAGTTCCTAAAGGTGAGGTTGAGATGGTTACCCAAGAAGCAGCCTATACTCACAAAGATCTGCTTGAGTTTTCGAATACGTACAAGCAGAAGCCTGGGGAATAACCCTAGGAATGGTTACTGAGGATGTGGGATCCTGGTGCAAGAAATGTAACATCAGACCAGTTTGAGTTTCTGGATTTGGGACCCTTAAGCACAGATTCTTCTTTCAATGTCTCAGCGAGAGAGGCTGGGAGAATCTAATTCTTTCTTTGGTTGGTTCACTGAAGCATGGACTGCCAGATGGCCTAACTTAGACCAACTTGAAGTACCTGACCTATCTTGGTACACTGTAGAGGAAGGCATCCAAAAGCTTAGAGAAACTGGTATGTTGGGATGGATCTATCAGGATAATCTCATAGACCCAAAAAGGGAGTGTCCTGAGGACATACCCTTCACCATAACCATAAGGAACAAGGTTGTGAAATGGGGCCCAGCATCTCTTAAGACTCCTGTAATTGCTATTTTATGTGCACCAGGATTAACAGTGGGCACTGCCCTAAGCGAAGATTTGCCCACAATGGGTCTGGTTGGTCCCTGTGGTGGTAGAGGGCAAGTGTCAGCACTGAATCAGCAGAGACAGTGTGGGCGTGGTTATAGTAGAAAACAAGGTTTCTGTAGTAATCAAAGCAACCTGTCTCGTGTGGAATTATGGCATTGACTACTTGGCCAAAGTGTCCCTAGGAGTGAAATATAGGGGAAACCTAATAAATATTTACGTGATCTATACAGGCGGAAGAATGGTAGATCAGGCGAACAGGACAATAGGCAGTCACAATGGCTCAATCAATTCCCAGACCTGAGCCAATTTACAGACCCACAACCCCTTGAATGAGGGGGAGGCTGGGTTCCTTTGAAGGAGGACCCTGCTACATCACCGAAGGTCTATACTGTTAGTCTTTCTTCTAGCCTTCCCCAAAGGGACCACGGCCTTTCACAAGAGTGACTGTTCATTGGGGAAAAGGAAATAATCAGACTTTTGGGAGATTGCTGGACACTGGCTCTGAACTGACACTAGTTCCAGAAGACCCAAGGTGTTTCAAAGGACTTCCAGTCAGAGTGGGAGCATATGGAGGTCAAGTTATCAATGGAGTTTTAGCTTGGGTATGCCTCACTGTGGGTCCAGTGGGCCCCTGAACCCATCCTGTGGCTATTTCCCCAGTTCCTGAATGCATCATTTGAATAGACATACTTAGTAACTGGCAGAACCCCCATATTGGATCCCTGAAATGTGGAATAAGGAGTAACATGGTAGGAAAGGCCAAGTGGACACCATTAGAAGTGCCATTGCCTAGGAAAATGTAAAACAGAGCCAATATCCGGTACTGTGTCTCTAATAGCCAGAATTCATATGTCCAGGAAACAAGGGGTGGAAGCTGGAGTGGCATCACTCACTATTACTCCTCGTGATCCACTTGCAGCATTTTTGCGTCTTGTCCTAGCAGCCCTATGTGCTTCAGGCCTGGAGGTCCTGGTCCCGAAGGAAGGAACTCCCCCACCTGGAAACACAACATGGATTCCACTGAACCCCCTGGCCACTTTGGGCTTCTCATGCCTTTGGATCAACAGGTCAGGAAGGGTGTCACTGTACCAAGTGGTGTGATTGATCCTGATTACCAAGGAGAAATTGGACTGGTGTTACATAGTGGAGGTAAAGAAGAATATGTCTGGAATCCAGGAGATCCCATAGGCTGATTCTTAATGCTACCATACCCTGTGATTAAAGTAAATGGTAAGTTATAGCAACCCAATTCTGACAGGATGTATAATGACCCAGACCCCTCAGGAATGAAGGTCTGGGTCGCCCCACCAGGCAAAAAATACCACAGCCAGCTGAGGTGCTTGCCGAGGGCAAAGGTAATACAGAAAGGGTAGTAGAAGGTAATTCTACCTATCAGTTATAACCACGTGATCAATTGCAAAAGTGAGGTTTTTCTATTGTCAGTGTATTTTCTTTATATGTGCTTATTGCATATCTTTCCTTTGTTCATGTAGGATATATCAGATACAATTGGACTCAGTGTGTTTTCATTTATATGTATGATAGATGTTTGATGTTAAATATAAATGTGATTTCATTAATGTCTGAAATTATATATGGCTAAAGAATTTTGTACAGGTGCCAAGCTGGCAAGGGGTGGATTGAGATAATTAACGTCTAATGTGCCAACATGTCCAATGAACACATGTGGGATTAATTGAAGCACAGAGAGATAAATGGCCCGGGGAACCTTACCTTTCTTGTCTCTTGTTCTTTGACAACTGGACTAGTGTGTGACTGCCTTGCTTGTTCTGTGCCTCAATTTGCAAGCTACACTACCTGTGGGACACCTAACCCATGGACTGTGTCACTATAATTTGAGGTTCCTTCAAGACCTGGTTCGCCACACTATTGGAATATATACATCTTGAGATGGGGACTGTCGGACCCTATCATCTGGCTGACTGTTGGTGACCTACCTGCCTTGCTGTTTGCTGCCTGTGGCCGGATAGCCTGGATTGCTCTACAGAGGACTACTACCTGGTGGGCCTCAAGACTTGAAGGACTGCCAGTGTCTCACAGCTGTCTCATGGGAGTGAGTTGCACTGAACCATTTATACTGCTTCAAAGATTAATTAACTGTTTATTTCTTATGTTATATATCTATCTATATAAATATACATAAAATTACTAGCACTCTGGTTTTGTTTCTTTAGAGAATCCCGTCTAACATACTATGCAACAAAATAACAGTAATTCCTTGGTTATTTGATCTTTGATACATGATTTTATTGAATGTACACATAAGTCCTTTATGTACTTCTATTGTTAACTCTATTTCACAGAAGAGGACAATGAAGACCTATCTTGTCCAAAAGTCACACTGCAAGGGAATGGGAAAGCCAGGGTTACAAGCCTGCAACCCCGCACTGCCAGCTGCCTGAGAGACTAAGGCCCTGCTTCCAGCCCTGCTTCCCTCGAAATCTTTAAGAAACTCATGGGAGTTACAATGTGTGATCTCAAAAACAGCTATTTACATACTCAGAATTTATCCAACTGGCTACAACTTGTATCAATTAAAGATATGTATGTGCATGCATATACACAAAAATCTTCTTTACATGTTATCTGAAAAGCTTATTTTAGCATATCACCGTGAAATGAAAAGTCTTACTGCTTCCATTTGGTAAGAGATGTACTAAGATAGATAGTCAGGATTTTCTTTTTTTTTTAAATCCTTCGATGTGAAGAGAGTAATAAAGTAAGAAATTAATGCCAGGTAGCTGTCACTTCCTAGTGCTTTTCATCATTCATTACAGCATTCTGATTCCAAAAGCAAGCACACAATGACCCTTAAAATAAAAGTATCAAAACAAATTGCAAATATAAGTCAAAATTACCTTCTAACATGGACAGCAACATAACCACCATATCCTTCTGGAGATCCATTAGTTCTTTTAATAGCTCAATCTGGCTGGAATCCTGAAAAGATCAACATAATGCAATTGAAATGAGCTGAGAAAACCAAGCAAGAAGAATAGCATTTCTTTTTCATCACATAAAAACTGATACTGTACCTAAAGTATTATATTATGAAAAGAAGACGACTAAGCCCAAGTGTACAGTTTATGATAGCAAGACTTCAGAAGTAGAGTCCCTACTTTGGATGTTAAATCATAAATTTCCTGTAAGGATGACTTAAACATATATGAAAAGAACACAGAAGCATTAAAGCAAGGGTGGAGTTCTCTAATGGGGGCAACAATTAGGGGCTTTGCTCATCTGAAATATTATTTCTTTCATTTGAATAGGCTTTGTGTTTTAATCTGAGGCTCCAAGGTTCAAGTCTCTAGTCTGCCACTTATTTCTTTATTTTAAGAAGACCTGTGGGTGCAGTAGTTGAAGTGCTTGCTGCTAACCAAAAGGTCAATGGTCTGAACACACCAGCTGTTTCATGGAAGAAAGCGAGGTAGTTGCTCTTTCACTGTGGTCACATGGATTCAAACCCTTTAGGACAGAGTAGAAGCACCTTGTGGGTTTCTAAAACTGCGACTCTGTACAAGATTCCAACAGCCTTTATGGCAGTATCCTTCCAGAGCATACCGTGTGAAAACCCTATGGGGCAGTTAGACCATGCCTGACAGGATCTCTATGTACTGGAACCGACTTGTTTGCGTGGATTTGTTCGGTTTTGATGCTTTTTGTTCTTGTTCCCTCATTATTTATCTTACATAAAAGTTAACTTAGTCTGGAAAAATACTGCTCATGAGCAAAATTTATATTAATCTAAGCAAACATATTCCATAAATCTAACAATAAATGTATACAAATATAACCTATGATAATATTATACCTTATTTACCAATTTCATTGAGTTCTCTAATATTTCTCATGTTAAATTTTATGGATTTTTTCTTTTGATTATTTTCACCACAATTTTTTTCTTTCTACTAAGACATTTGTAACTAAAAATCACTATGCTTAAACCCGCAGTGATATGCCACATACATATGCCCAATATCTAGAAATATGTCACATACTTAGTTCTATATAACAACCTTACATATTGTCAAAATTTCTTTTCATTCCAGATACCCTTTTGCCTTTTGAAAATTTTAACAGGCATTTTATTTTCATCTGGGTGTTGTTACTAAATTCCTCCAAAGCTGAAAGAATAACAGCTTTTCTCTTCAAAGAGATACCACCTTAGTTCAGTCTACAACTTCCCAGGTAGCAGTAGATGTTAAAACAATCAAAATGCATATTAATGATAATTCTTTTATGAGTGTACAGATTTTTTCCTGTTGATTTCTTTTAACTTACTAAAATATCACTGTGCCTTATGAAAGAATTATGGGTTTTACATATTTGGCTCAAGTGCCCAGCAATTAGATATGTTTCCATACAAATGGCAGGTGGCAGAGTTGAGTACACCATGTGGTGGAGAGAATGCGATTAAGGGAAATAAAGGCTTGGCTAAGCGCAAGGGAGAAGTAAATGAGTAAACTAAGAGGGGACTTCACTATCAGTCTTCCAGCTTTAATCCTAAAATTCTGTCTTTCACTTGATCACCTGGCACATACCTATGTCCTGACAGAGCATACATTCAGGACATACAATCAAACTCCAAGACATTACAGAGGTACACTTACTCATATTTTATGTTAAGTATTTGCCTAGTCATACATTTCTTAGTATTAAATGAATAAATACAGCAGTAGGAAACAGGATGGTTTTAAATATGCACTTTCAAATTAATTGCTAAAACACTGTGAAAATATGTATATTCTTTTTGGATATTTTTCCCCTTGACTTCCACAAAGTTAAATTTCTTATTAATGAGGGAATATCATCTACTGAGAAGAGTTGCTTGTTTACAAACCTATGAGAAAATTGCTTTCCTTTAACGAGTCATGCTAACAAGCTACAAGTCCCTTTTCAATGATCTACAGTGGGGATGAAAATTTCAGTAAGCAATTATCAGAAAACAGGTATTTGAAGCATTGTAACTTTTAAAATATTTGGGGACAATATGGTTTCATTATTTCATTCCACTTAATTGCTTAATATCCTTCTTTTGGCAAATTTTAATAATCCTTAGTGTGCATGAAGTATGTGTGTATGATATTTCAGCTTGCATGAAGTATGTGTATGTGTGTATGTGAATGTCAAGTAAAGATATATAATATACATATTATATATAAAAATATATCAATGTCAAGTAAAATATGCATAAAGAAATTATCTAAGAAGCCCCCTTTAAGTTTGTTGGTGATTGCAGATCATCAATGTGTGGGTTAAGAGGATGGGAGGCAGGTCATTTACCTGAGACAGCTTCATTTGCATGTGTGCAAAGACATGAAGAAAACCCACCACGGCATCCCACAGCCTGCTGTGTGCCAAACTCTGCTGATTCCCAGTGCAGGGACCCTGGAGCATAAAAATCCAGACAACAATTATTTAATTGCCAAAAATGATTACAATAAGAGATAAAATGAACTTAAGGTTTATATGCCTTCTTTTTCACATGTTATCTGAAAGTACAGGAATCCTCAAGGAAAGATTTATAATCATGATTTAAATGTCTATTAACAGTTTCTCAAGAATATACATGTTCTGTTTCTAATGAATAATAAAACATTGACACAACAAAATGATGAGCCACTTCAATGTTATCTGGTGCCATTCAGTTGTGGTTATTAAGTCAAATGAATAAGCAGCCACTCCTTTCTATGGAAAAGAACCTGATAACATCCTATTCCTAAATAGTAACCTGGATCATATAGAAGAAAAAGAAAACCCCCTGCAATATTTTCTTTTCTGAAAATAAATGAAAATATTGTATTAACTATGTAACCATTGAGAATTTAAAAGATGAGGGATTGGTTGTTCCCTACATGAACCTAGAAGTCCCAGCAGTCAGAAGTTAACTTTTGAAGTGTAATACTAAAGCGAGTGTGTTTTGGTCAATTTCTATTTCTCCACGGAAAATGCTATCAATCACTCAGGTTTGAAAACATTTCTGTTTTTTTAGTAATCATTTTATTGGGGGCTCATACAGTTCTTTTTAAAATACATAGATATGTCCACTGTGACAAGCACATTGAAAATATGTCTAATGCCAACCAGAAAAATAAATAACAGGGATTTTTTTTAATTAAAAAAACACACACGTAGAACACAGTTTAAAAATTCTAATCAATCTTCCTCTAGTTCTTAAACGCTTCCTCCCCCCAACTACCATGATCCCAATTCTACCTTGCAAACCTGGTTAGACCAGAGGATGCACAGTGGTACAGATGGGAACTGGAAACACAGGGAATCTAGGACAGATGAACCCCTCAGGACCAGCAGTGGTGATGCTGGGAGGGAAGGTGGGGTAGAAAGAGGGAATCTATCACAAGGATCTACATATAACCTCCTCTCTGGGGGATGGGCAACAGAAGGGTGGGTGAAGGGAGATGGCGGGCAGTGTAAGATGTAATGATAACTTATAAATTATTAAGGGTTAATGAAGGAGGGGGGAGCAGGGAGGGAGGGGGAAGGAAAATGAGGAGCGAATTCTAGGAACCCAAGCAGAAAGTGAATTTTGAGAATGATGAGGGCAACAAATGTATAAGTGTGCTTTACACAATTGATGTATGTGTGGATTGTGATGAATTGTATGAGGCCCAATAAAATGATAAAAAAATTCTAATCAATTTGTTTTTATCAACTAATGATCACAAGAAGTTTAGAATGGAGCGTACATTCAAACATTTCTAATTTCCCTTTTCAAGTAATTACTTGAAGATGACTGCAATGAAAAGACTAACAGATGTTGAGATGGAACCTTTTTCCCAGGTCAGCTCCTACCATCTAGCTCAGAAGCAACAAAGCCCACATGGGAGAAGCACACCAGCCTGTGTGATCATGAGGTGTCAAAGGGATCAGATATCAGGCATCAAAGAACAAAAAATCAAATCACTGTGAATGAGGGGGAGTGCAGAGTGGGGACCCAAGACCCATCTGTAGGCAACAGGATATATCCTTACAGAAGGGTCGCAGGGAGGAGATGAGCCAGTCAGGGTGCAGTGTAGCAATGATGAAACATACAACTTTCCTCTAGTTCTTTAATGCTTCCTTCTCCCCCACCATCTATCCACCCACTATCATGATCCCAATTCTACCTTACAAATCTGGCTAGACCAGAGGATGTACACTGGTACAAATAGGAACTGGAAACAGAGAATCCAGGACAGATGATTCCTTCAGAACCAGTGCTGATAGTGGTGATACTGGGAGGGTAGAGGGAGGGTAGGGTAGACAGGGGGAACTGATTACAAGGATCTACATATAACCTCCTCCCTGGGGGATGGACATCAGAAAACTGGGTGAAGGGAGACATTGAACAGTATAAGATATGACAAAATAATAATAATTTATAAATTATCAAGGGTCATGAGGGAGGGGGGAGGGGGAAGGGAGGGGAAAAATGAGGAGCTGATACCAAGGGCTCAAGCGGGAAGCAAATGTTTTGAGAATGATGATGGCAACAAATGTAGAAATGTGCTTTACACAATGGATGGATGTTTGGATTGTGATGAGTTGTACAAGCCCACAACAAAATGATTTTTTAAAATCCCCAAAACTATGTCCCAAGTATGTCAATATTCCAACATACTAAACTCAACACCCCAAGAGAGTGAATAAAAATAGATATTCCCACCTTAAGGGATGAAAATGTTTTAAAAGAGAGACTAGGAGGAATTCCATATCCTATGTGCCATGGAAGAGGAGAGTGGGTGGCTTTCTTATATAAGAAGATTTCCAGAGAACCATTGAGAGAGTGGAAAGGTCTTGTGTTAGAAAGTGTGGCAGAGAATAGGCGTAGAGAGTACATTTCCATAGTTCAAAAAGAGGAAAGATGCATATCTCTGACAGGTCCATAACAGGCTGCCTGGGCACACTGCTGCTTCTATGGTAGTTACACAATTTCCTCTCAATTTGATAAAAGAATGAAGGGGTGGAGTCTAGCCTGTCAATCAGGTCACAGCCTGATGATCCCTCCTTGTGGTCATGGCCTTCTCATAAAGATCCTGGGAACTCTCTCTTGATTCTGCCATCAGAAGAGGTAAGCTAGTATCTCTCTGCTTCACCTTCCTGTTGACAAGTCACATGGAAGAACACGGATGGAAGTCAGAGCCCTAGAGGAGCATGCACTTCCATTGGGTCCACAGGACTTTCCATCCACAGGCCTGTGATCTTCCTGCATTCGGCATCATTGCATGTTCTGCAGGAGTCTGAAGAGGGCTAATATTGGACTTATGGTCTAATTTTGACCTTATGAACTTGACCTGGGCTGGGGTGGGATTTTTACTGATGCCTAATTCTTGATATAAAGTTCTCTCTTAAATTTATGCCTCTGGATTTGTTTCTCTAGTCAATTGGGCCTAGCACATCTTCTATGAGGGAGATGCAGGTTTGATTCCTGGCCTATGCATCTCAAGTGCAGTCAACATCCTCCCATCAATTGAGGCTTGTGTGATTCTAAGATACCAAGCAGTATTCAGCAGGATTCCAGACTGAGGTTGACTATGAAAAAGGCTTAGAGAGCTATTTCCCAAAATCAGTCCCTGAAAACCCCATGGCACACACATTCAGAGCCAATCTTAGGAATAGTGCAGGACTAGGCAGTATTTCCTACAGCTATAAATCAGATTGCCGGAAGTAGGGGGCTGAGTTGACAGCAGCTCACACCAGGACGGGATACCTAAGAGAGTGCCGCCTTGTCCATTGAAATCTTCGTAAATGGTACTGTCGGAAAGGGAACGGTGGAGATTCACTGGGTTTGTGGGGGGGAAAAATTAACTGAGTGGCGAAAATAAATGTAAACTTATAGACTGGAGACATTAAGAAAGACATGGGCATCTTTAAGGAACTCCTAATACTGTAGTTCCCTAATTAGAGAAAGAAGCAGTGCACCAACAAGCCGGTTCCATGGCACAGTCCTGAATTAACGTGCCCTGAAGAAATGTGTTTTCCTCCTCCTCACAGCAACAACTCTGAATTCAGAGGGGAAGAGGGAGAGAGGAAACACGCAGAAGATGCAGCAAAGTCCAGATCATGACTCCTTGCCCTCCACAAGCAGTCCTAAGACTTTCCAGGATACAATCTGGCCCAAACGTGGAGGGGAGAGGAAGCTATGTATCGTAAAAATTATGTGACTGTAACTGTACTATTCTCGACATGAGGTCCTGCTTATGATAAAGTGACTGATGGCATTTCACTTATTGGCCAAGGGACGAAATTCATCCATGCTAGGTAGAGAAAAACAAAACAATGATTCACAGACTAAGTCTGAAGGGACAGTGTTGAGAAGAATGAAAGCAGCATTATTTAATCCATTACTAACTTAATCTGTAGGTTATTAACTTTCGTACATTCAAGACAGTAGATAGTGTGCTTTCATAGTTTCCCCTGCACCGACTGTTAAAACAATTGACTTCAAAGTAATTGGTCTCAGGGTCTTATTATAGTTGGAGCCAAGTGTCATCAACTGTGCCCAAAATCCAGGGAGTGAGAAATACAGAGGGCAGTAAGTGAATACTATAATTCTGTTACTTTCTAAGGAAATCAACTTCAAGTCAAATATTTTTTCCCTATATTTAAGGTTTTAATAAAAATTCAAGCATATAATTTAAAGTGTTGAGATTTTCTGAAACTTCTGTGTAAGCTCTGCAAATCCTTCATGACAGAGTCCTGAAGCCCAAGACTAAAGTACTCTTTCAGTTTCTCTGTTTTGTTTCCCCTGCAAATCTGAAACACAGAGAATGCACTTTACTTTACCAAATGTGCTCAACCTTACACAATCTACATCTGCAACTGTTAACTGATCTGAAGGGACATCTCCCTTGCTTAACAGCCTCTCTTCCTGGTAGTATAGTGGGTTATGTGTTGGCCTGCTAACCACAAGGACAGCAGTTTGAAACCACCAGTTGCTCCACCTGAGAAAAATGAAGTTTACTACTACTGTGTAAAGTTACAGTCTCAGAAACCCCCAACGGCAGTTAGACTCAGTCCTATAGGGTCACAATTAGTGGGAATCAATAGATGGCAGTGAGTTTTGAGTATTCAGTGCCCCAAACACTGAATAAAATAGAGTCTCTGAATGGTATAAAGGTTTAAGATACTTGGTTGCCATGTGAAATGCTAGAGCTTTGAGGTCATTCTGAGAAATCTCAGAAGGAGGGTCTGGGGAAAACCCAACCATTGAAAATCCTATTCTACTCTGGGCAGTTCTACTCTGGCCCATATAGGGCTGCAATGAGTCAGAGCCAACTTGATGGCACCAGGATAAAAAACAAAATGCGCCCACCACCCCCCATTGCTAATTGCCACAAAGCAGAGCAGGTTTATAGATTAATCTTCTTGTTGCAACAGTACAGAAAGCTTTCTCATTTCTCATCAATTACCTCTTACTACTCTAACAACCTTGACAGTATAATGTCTTTTGTGGGGGGAGGTCAGATGCGCAGGCATTTCCCCCCCCC